ATTCCATTGGAGACCACCGTAAAATCCTCGTACCTTTTACAATGTTTCTTTAGGTCCATCTTAATTTTTGATACCATCCACAAATGTCAGGATTTTCGACTAATTTTCTATGTGCAGTTCTCATCCATTCCATGCGAGCTATATGCCCCACCCATCTTCGTCTTTTACTTCTAGATATTTTGCCCATGTTTCAATCCCTTTTTAACTTTTAATTCGATGATATTCTTGGCAGTGATTGATCTTATCCCATCCCCAAAGCCGGAAGTCCTCTCTTAATCTCCTATCCTGACTTGCTCATACCTGGAGGAAGTTTCCTTCATACACAACGAAAGGAGCTTACTGTATCCAAGTATTAATAATTTATATTTAATTAAACTCTTTCTGTATTAATGGACTGTTCCTATCCTCTGTGTGTATTAATAGTTCTCTTGTCTCTAGCTGTCTTTAATATGTATGAAGAGGTAGATGAGTGACATTGTTGGTTATTTCTGGCGAAGTTCATCATGTTCCACCATTATCATTGTCATGGCAATGTCCAACATTAACATTTTCATGTAATATCTTGAACACTGGGATGTAAAATAAAAGTCAGATGTTCAGTGCAAAGTTCAACCTCTTTGTTGTTACATTTCTATCTCCTTTCTTTGCTCAAATGAAATTCTCGCACTGCCCATTCCATCTGGTTCTCATTGCAAGGGAAATATACATGAAATGTCGACTTCCTGCTGCCTGGTACGTGATAAAAGAAAATGTGCTGCTATCATCCATACTATCTCGTGACATCTCCTGGCGAGACGTCACTCATCACCTTTGTTCCGAGACATATAAAAGTCTGGCACTGTGTCTTCAACAGTGTCACAACAAGAACGACGTACAAAGCGATTTATCTTTCACCAGACGTTAGACTTGAGTAAATTCTTTAGCTGTAAGTAAACAGGTCTCAGAAGCCCACTACGCTGTTTCCGGTGGAAGGGTCATAGTCCTCAATTGAAATTTGATTGCCACGACATTATTTTTAAAATAATGCTTAGAATATGAGCCTCTGAGTGTAATGTAATTAGTGTAAAGAGTAGGCATACTAATTCCCCGAATACTACGTGAAGAAATTTTGGTATTCTTACGCCATTTGCATCCTCTGGAAGAACTTTTCAAAATTATTGATAACACTCACATCCTATCGACTTATCGTGAAGTACCTTTCATGGAAAAGTAAAAGTACTATCGAAATAAAATAAAAGCCTAACAGATAAATGTTCTTTTGTCTGTCAGAACGCTTCATCTGTAGAACTACAGATTTCGAAAAAAATTGGTGTAGGGTTTCGCTCTGAAATTTTTCAAGCTCTATAATTTTTTGAATGCCGGTCAGTTACGTCTACTTTATATGAATCCAGAATTTAATTTTATCAACGTGACTGTCTTCTGGGATGTTGCGCCGTGTAGTCTGATAGACGTTTACCGACGTTTCAAAGGCCCTTGCTGCCTCCTTGTTCAGAAAGTTGATAATGGCCCTGATGACAAAGTGACGTTGAAAACAATTTCATATCAGCGATGCAGGTACAGGAAATGCAATTAAGCGCCCGAAATTATGTTTGCAAATGCAAATTGAAAGTGAACAATAGAGACATAGGCCTATTAAGCGCAATGTGTAGGGCCATCGCACGTACGGCACTTCACGTCTACACCTCGTGTTGAGACGGTGAAGATAAATTTGAGGCCATGTCAACAACGCGATTTTAATCGCGTCTACCGAACCGTGCAAATGGCCAAGTGTTCAATATTTTGTGGTTCAGACAAAAGAGACATTCAGTGTGATGTTATCTTGAATTTTGTTTAATGTCGTATGCTGTGAACATTTGCAGTGCACCATAGTCTTAATCAACTGAAGTATAAAATAATTTTATATGAGTTTTGTGAGTTTAAATGTTGTGAGTTGAAATGTTTGAGCAATTTTAAATTTCAGTTGATGACGTTTCGGCCAGTCCTGTGTCAGGTTATATTAGTAATGGAAAGAAATTCAAGCTGTGAAAAACGAGAGTTTGTTCTTTGTTAAACATTTTGCAGGTAATAATTTATGCAGAAGTATAATAAAAGGCTTCAATGAAACAAACAGGAATTAGCATAGGCCAATGTCTAGGATTCCATACTTGGTTTAAATTAATTATAGTATGCACGCCTTCCACATATATGTTTATAAATGATATACATTTTTGTTTGACATCAGATTAGGAAAATGTTGCTTGTAAACAAAAATAATAATATAAGTTATAATTAAACCATATATTATCATCCGTACAGTCCCTCTGCCATCTGGTGAGAGACGAATAAGACCACTGTGTCGAATTTCCACTGTCGTATGAATACAAGAACTACATTGAAAATAGGACCTAGTAACTTTACAATAAAGTACGCCACTAGGACATAGTCTGGTATAATATTACCGAGGTTTCAGAAGTGCGTGTTGCCTTTCATCGCAATGATTATGAAGGCAGCAGAAACTTCTGAATCGTCGGTAATATTATACCAGGCTACACGGGACGACATCCTAGAAGACAGCCATCTTTAGATGTCAGGCATAATATTGAAAATGGTCGTGGCCGATTTTAGCGTCTGGATCCCTGCTGTCACATTTGGGGCGGAATGCGTTAAATCCCCTCCTGGCATCCAGCTCAATTTCCTCGAGTGACAGTTATTTAAATTAAGGAAAGAAGAATGAGTAAGCAAGAAAATTAACTATTTTCTGCGGTCCTTAAACCACTCTTTCGGGTCGTGCATGAGAACGTGTCCTAACTCTGGGTCCTATAGAAACTCTTCCACTCTGATCGTAAATGAAATTTATTTGGCCTCCTTCTACTGGGAGCGGATAACATACAAAACACAGACTGAACTGTCCGCTGCACCCAAAATAACATCCCCCAATTTCCCATCCCCCTCGAACCCTCAAACAATTTTCTAAGGAGGCGTGGACAACCTACAAACCTGATGTTCTATTTGTATTGCACCGTCAAGACGTAGACGGAAATGAGTGTACGAATCACTCCGTTCTTGACGAGACTTGTTTACACATCGAACGTTGTCCTCTGAATAATTTATCCCTCAATTTGAAACTATGCCACCCGCTCAACAATAAATGTATCACAGGCAAATGGAACAGAAAAGCAGATGGACTGAGTTCGATCGAAGTCGGGATTTTCTTAGTGCTAGGCCAACACTGTACTAGACCAATTATGCAGACGATAATATAAGAATACGAAAACAATGAAGTGCCTCAGTATAATGCCAGGCAGTTCACTTGAGAATATAACTCTCGAGAAGTTGTGTTTATATATTGTAGTCCTACTTCAGACAATGAAAGGTTTTCAACGCCATGTTGGTGTAAGTGAATTACATTTCTGTTTGCCTCGAGCTTTGTCCGTGAGTGAAAGAAGGTGGCGTAGGAGTGCGTCAAATACGAATTATATGGAATTTCATGACCGCGTGCATTCATTATCTTAAGTGATAGAGACACGTAAGCAGGAACTCAGGCTTTGTGTTTTGCGTTTGTTTTAAAATCGTGTGAAAACGATTACATTAACAATGATAAAAAGCACACGTTGTGGAGTGCTTGCCTAGTTTTCAGATTTTGTGATAACTTTTTCAGAAATACTTCAAATATGTTTTCAGCGAAACAGTAATGAATTAACTTTTGCAAAGCAGCATAAGCTCGTGGATAAGTGCGTTATGAAACGACCTCAAATAAAAAAAATACCGGCAGGGATCATTATCTCTCGTATGAATTATATTTGTTTCTTACGAAAAGCTTACAGTGCAAAATATATATTACTTTACACACGCGTATTCTCGTTAATTTCTGCCCCAATGTAAGATAAACTGATTATTAAGCTCACATCCATAAATTATTCCGTGCCAGAGGAAGCCGGAAACTGAAACCTTATTTTCTCTGTAATTAGTACGGTGAATAATTATGTTTACTTCCTTCCTTGTTTTGGAGCAAAATCCTTCGAATACGCGTACTAATGTACCAATAACTGAACCACAAAGAAACAGAGAAACAAAAGAATTTCGGGTGAAGGTATTTGTTTTTCCCCTCCCATTTCCGAGTCCAAATCGGCTCTGAGGCCCACCCAACCTCCTATCCAATAAATACCCCGGAGTTAAAACGGTCGGGGCGTGAAGCAGACCACTCACCTCCATCTAGTGTTTAGGCTAAGACAGACTGGAGCTGACCCTAACTCTTACATTATACTAAAGAAAATGTTAGTTTATCACTGCGGGTTCTCTTAAAATAAACTGCATAGCTAACTGATATAATTAAATTGTTTACTTACTGTAAAACTGTAAACTTAACATAACACTTAACGTAACGTAATACAACATAACTTAACACTTCTTAATCTAACCTCACCTAACCTGCCATAACTTGACCTGAGCTAACCTAAAACTAAATCAAACCTATGGATCGTACAGACAGAAATCTTAACCAATACACATAGGTCTCACTATAGATTTCAAATATCCAAAATGTATTGTTCAATTGTATTACTACTATCACACCACGATTACGATTATCGACATCATCGCCCCGATCACAGTGGGAGTGCGATACAATGCTAGTGTTGCCCTGGGACTGTGGGTTTGTTTTCGCTCGAGGCATGGATGTGTGTCAGCGTTTATCTGTGCTGTGTTGCGTGAATGTTGGTCTGGTGATGGACGATTTTCTGTCCATGCAGTTCTGTACCAGATACGTAAGGATTTCTTCGAGGGCGTCATACCAGAAAGACGTATCAGCGAAGTAGCTGATTTACAGAACACCAAATTCTTACGATTATTTGATTTTGTGACTGTATCTCTGTGTGTAGAGTAGCATCAGCATTAGGCCCTTCTAGCACGATGCCCTCGAAGAAGCATAATTTGTGAAAGCTGAAGATCACTACTACCTTCTCGTTGCACTCAGTTTCGAACTGAATTTATGGCTTTAATATTGTTTCGTTGTCCTGATCCAGGAATGGCTCACAAGGAATGCCTAGAAAATGGGACCTGGTTTCGACATCCGTCATCTGGTCAAGTGTGGTCAAACTACACCACATGTGTGAACATGGACGATTTGAACGTAAGTTACGTCATCGTAGTATTTTAAGTAGCAATTTTGTATTAATTTTTTAAAAAAATATTTAAAATTGATAACAAGAACCTGCCATTATTAGGGTGATGAAATCAAGGAATATTAGGCAGTAGGCATGTGTAGGCACACAAAGAATGTGGGAAATGAGAAACGCAAAGAAAATTTTAGTTGTAGAACCTTGGAGAATCATATCAAAATGGATCTTAATGAAAGAGGTGACAAGTTTTGTGCTGATTTCAACCGGCCGAGGGTAATCTGCGGTGACGAATTATTGTAGACTCTTCGTATTCCGTAAAAGGCGTGAAGATTCTTTGGATTTTTTTAAGAAGGGCTCAGCTCCATCTATTTATAAACACAATGTTATAGTTTTTACAGGCAAATCGATTTTAGCGTGAACTTGTGACTGTAAATGCGCATCCACTGTACAGTTTCTGTGCCCAAGAGCCTGATACGTACGTCAGTTACTTCCGAGTCGTTCAGTGCTGTATTCCGCACACCCAGAACAAACGGATGATCGACATGAAGTAAGTTCTGTATGAACTAAATATAATAATCGATAGTTCCGGAAGCCAAACAATTACATAGACTGAAATCAAGTCTAAGAATTCTATAGATAGACGAAGGAAAGTCCATTATTCCCGTAATTCACAAGCCATTCACTATGACCCTATTCTGGTTATAAGCTAGGGATTCATAATGGTCCTTTCTGTTGTAAGTGTAGAAAGGAATTCTAAGCTCCAATATTCTGTCGAATAAGTTTCTGCAGGCTTTGCCATTCAATCTTTTGGCCTCTGTGCCGTAGCCTCTGTTGGGAATGTCGCGTGACATGAACGGTGGCTCTGACTCTTCAGCAGAGGCAACGACCATCATCTTGTAAGCACGTGCGACAATTACGGGTTCACATCGCACGCATGTCACAACCCAGACGTGGAGTGACACGGATTGAATGATTGGACAAGTGAATGCAAATGTTTTGTGCTGACTGAAAACCTGACTAATAAATTCTATTCCACTTTGCTAAATTAACGGACTGGAAACTTGTAGCAGTAGGTAGATAAAACGAAATCAGCAAACTTTCCACCTGTGTAGATGGAAATTATTAAAAAAGAATTTTCTAGACCTGTGTGAAATTCATTTCTCTTTCAGTTACGTGGAGCTCTTGTACATCAGATAATACAACAGTCAGGACCACAGAAAGCGATTGAACAGGCACTTTTTATGTTCTTCATGTATGCATTTTGTTTCTAGATTGTGAATTCGTCTGTACAAAATATAACTTCCTCTGTTACGATAGAATAAATCATTGCACCAAGTTCTTCCTCCAGACCTGCGCACCAAATACTAACTGAACAGCCGAACAGACGTTGGCTTGTTCCATTTGCAGCGACAGAACTAATTTTTCTCTAAATGCGTGTTACTGCGGTGTTTGTTAAATCACTTTGCCTTCGAACGTAGCCGTCATCGGTTTGTTTTAATTCTTAAATTAAAATCCTTGCAAATATGGATATGTCTTCATTTTCAGGTCGAAATGTTTGATCGATAGTTAGTTACTAACTCAGTCTGCTTGTGGGTAAACGGATTATGAGCACAGAATCATAATTGAACATTAAACGAAATTTTACTTTATAATTTAACAGGATTAAGTAAGGAATTTTTATGTAGGCCTTAGTAATATATCTTAGGTCAACCGTATGGATTTTTGTTTAGAATCTAAATGAACTTCGCCGTTAATTAGCTAAATACACACAATAAAATGCCTTTGTAACGTTCCATCTGTCTGGAAATAAAGTATGACATTGTTTTATAAGTTCTGACAACCTTTGCTAATTTAACCCGCTTTGGTCCACATCAAGCATCATTTTAGCTGGAATACATTTAGAGTGGCACTGTACTTTATACCCACTCTGAAAATTAGTTGATGATGTTCATTTTTATTGCGTGTTTGTTTCAGTGGCGCCAGCAGGTGAACAGAATTTATGAAATCGGCTACTTGGTGTCGCTCGTGGCTTTGCTCATTTCATTAGGAATTCTGTTCTACTTCAAGTAAGTTTATGCAATTAGTAACATAAAGTAACAGAAGTAGTCTACAGCGAAATGAAAACTATAAAACTAACTTAACTATATAATACGTTCAGTTTGTGCACTCGATGCAATGAACAAGTACAAATGAAATAACTTTGGCAGCTTACTTGTTCCTCCTGGACATTTGTTCCCTTCAGCATAAGAGTGATCTAAGTGCTTGTATTTTTGTTATGCAGGCCCCTGCGGTGCGCGAGGACCACTTTACATATGAACCTTTTCGCGTCGTTTGCAATGAACAATGCGCTGTGGCTGCTATGGTACCGCATTGTGGTCAATCAACCAGAAGTCATCGTGGAAAATGGGGTGAGTTTACTTGTTCGAAGCCAATTTCTTTGGCGAAAAACCTCAGGCTGTACCGAATGAACTATGGTGTCTGAACTGCGAACTACATTTATTCGCTTTATATTGCTGTGCGCTATTTTATATTTCTATAGTCTGTACCTACAGTGGAATATGTAAATATCAGATGCAGCCCACTTGGGATTACTGTCTAAGCATCCAGAGAATCAATTTACCCTGCATATCTTATCAGAATGTGTTCTTAATAATGTTATTTTCATTTTCATTCAGTGCGAGTAACTGAAAGTTGTTTACTGACAGTAAACGTTTTATTGAAAGGCTTTGCGGTCCGCTGTCACTCAAAAATACACGATTCAGCTCCCCGTAAAAATTATTGCCGTCCTTGTCCTAGAGTTCTCTTTGTTACCACGCACTGGCGCGGCCTCAGCTTACGACTCCACACGTGGGGGTTAGCTGGCAACAGTTAATCACTGGCAACCTTAAGGGTTCTTCTACGGCGTAGGCGCTGGACGGAGTACCAACGCTTCATCGTAAAAGGACTATCATGATTTATGTTCCACGGGGACTCGGATGGGTTTTGTACGACGTAAGCAATGAATTAGTCGGAAAACCTGAAAAGACCATATGGAACTAAAGGGCGATAGATGTATATTATTAAAAAATAAGCTGTGACAATGTGCACTGGATTCAACTTGCTCACGTGTTCGTATGATTAAAATAGCTGAGAACCCATAGCCTCCTGGAGTTGAATCAGACTTGTACGCCGAGATATACGGCAACTTCTCCGACTCTCGAGAGGAACGTGCAGTCTAAACATACGTCTTCAGGCATCGTGTACTTCAAGTCCGGAGAGCAAGTGAGACTGGGCCCGTTCGCAGCCAAATTTCAAAAAAATTCATTTAAGACTTTAACCTTGTCTGTGTGTCCGTCAGCATGTGACATTTAGAAGGCTGATGAACGGATTTTCATAAAATGTTATATTGCGTAGTGTTAGGAGCGTTACTACAATTTGGTGACACATTCAGATCTTGGCCAAAATTGGTCGGAAGTGACGACAATATTTACACTGAGACTCACATGCGTAATACGTTAAGAATTTATCGGTGCGAGAAATGTTGCGAACAAACTTTGTAGAGGAAAATAATCCATAGTTTATGCTCAGTACACTTTTATTTATTTGAAAGATGATTAAACAAATAAGAGTTTAATGTCTGTTATGTCATAAAATTAAGGATGTGTTGAGCTGATTTTGACCAGATTTATTTTGGAGGTTCCAGAATATCATAAAGGTTTGTTTTGGCGAATTTAAACTGTAGGGGCAATAATACAGCGAACACGTCATATAGTTACGCTGTAGTCTATTATTAAATTTGAGACAGGAATGCTAAACATGCCCATTGATTTCATTGCTAGGAGTAGGCCATTAACGCTCATTTGTTACTCTAAACAAAATGTAGATAACTCGCTGAACACAAAGTATTTCACTCTTCTTTAGAGCAACGTTTTATAGCCCTTAACCATTACCTTTGTACCACATTATGAATCTTGTACGATAAAAGAAAAGTTTCTATAACCTGCAAAGCACTTTTCTGAGGAGAGTTCCTCTTCTTTTCATGATCAAAACTTTAAACTTGGAAACTTTAGAAGTCAAGTTTTATGCCTTCTTTTCAAGTTCCTGCGCGTCTTATATATTTCTTTACCTTCACTTCTAGTGAAAAATATTAAGTAAATTTGATTCGAAATTGCACGCACGTGTTTATATAAAAGCTTTCCCATCTATTCTGCTTATAGTTCCAAGGAATACACTCGTACTTACGTTGTATTAGTTGTTTCTGATGTAGGGTTTAAGAGGGTCATGACTTTGTACCAACGCTTTGGATGAAAATGCCGTCTCCATATTTAGTGTTAAAATAAAGGCAGCATATTCCAGCGAAACGTTGATATACAAACACAAGACTACCTAGCACGTCAATCTAGACCGCGGACTAATATTTCCTTCTGCTTCATAAAATAAAAAACTCTTGATTCAACCGTGACATTCGTGCTGAAACTGATTTCTTACGAACACTTGATATGTTAAAGTTTTGTACAGGTACAATTGTATGCGAACAAGATTTTCAAAAAAGGCTTACTTGTAAATGAATGACGGTGTTTGCTATGAAATTGAACAATTGTGCAGTGAGATGCAACATGAACACAGTTTTAATCAAGTCTCTATGTTTGGTAACATAAAAAAAAACGTGGCAGTAAATGTACTGAATGATTGGATTCTACCTAAATTAAAGTTAGCTTAATTTTAAATTCAAATCTGTATTCCCCTGCATCGAAATCTGTCCCGCCTAATCCGGTGTGTACATTCGTTTGACATTACAATCGTGATGAAAGGTTCAAACTTTGCTTCTGTTAGCAATTTCGAAACTGAGGTTCTCCGAGGAAAGCTGAATCAGGTTCGTCCTGTGTGCTGACAATAAAGAATAAGTCCACGAAATATTTATGAGAAATACGAAGAATAGCGCGGCAAGAAGCAGTCGCGTAATTGAATTTATCACGTTTTGGTAAGTGGAAAATGGTGCTCGGGTATAATCGGTATTGTGTGTTGTAGAGCATGATATTGTCATATTTTCAACATACATTTGGAAACGTGAGAAGGCGGCTTTAAGTAGATAAACGAGCTGAACAAATGTTGGATATGGAAATATCTTAATCTTAAGATGTTAAACAATATGCTGTTGTAGGCTTTGGAAAACTTTATAACGTGGACATGAGTAGGATTTTGCCAAGAATTACAGGCCATCAAATCCTCAGCTAAAGAGAGTCTAGGATAATACTTTATTAAAGTAGAATGAGCCATTGTTTTATGAACGACGCTCAAAACTATTACAAAAAAGGAGTTGAAGTGTTTGCAGAATTCAAGCCTAATTAATGGAGATGATGTGAACAATGTAAGACGCGGAGGTGGTATCCGAAAGACAAAAATTTATGAGCTTGAAACACAGCAGACATAAAACATGAGAGATCCGAATAAAAATATAAATTAACTTAATAATTACCTTAATCAAAAAGCATTTGTTGATCTGCTTGAATGTTGATATATCACTAAATAATATTAATCGGACTTAAATGGTCACAGCTGAGTAATTAGGACCCGAAATGTTTTATTGGGCCCAAATTGCTGAACTGAAGAGAACGTCCTGACCCGCAGGAGGGCTGTAAGATCCTGCATGTGGTCCTGCATTTCTTCCTTATGACCAACTACGCGTGGATGCTGTGCGAGGGTTTATATCTGCACACTTTGCTCGTGGCTGCCTTCATCTCCGAGTCTCGGCTCGTCAAGTGGCTCTACGGCCTTGGCTGGGCCATGCCTCTGGTCCCCACTGTCATCTACACGTCCTTGCGCGCGGCCAGCTCCGACGAGAACGACACCAAAGAGTGAGTAGACCTGCTGATTTACACGTGATGAGGTGGAGGAATAAGGCGATAATGTGTGTATGATCTGAAGCTTTCACGGCGACTAAGTATAATAAATTATTCTCGGGTTACCAGCCCTGTAAGGTGGCTTAATGAAGAAAACACCAGTGTTTCGAGAACCATCTTTGTTCTCGTCCTCAGGGTCTGGTAGCCCTAGAAGTATTTATTATAAGAATGCGAGTGTCTTTTACGATGCTGCGCCATAAGGTCTCGTAGACTATATCATCGATGAGCATCGCCCTGAAGAATGAGGCAATAAGGACTTCCGAAACGTGGGTAAATTTCTACGGGACTACAGGGCGCAACATCCCAGAAGACATCTTCAAATAGGCCGCCATGAGAACTTGAAGTATCACTTCATGTTTGTAGTACTTTTACTGTAGTATTTTGGGTTATAGGGCTATGCAGGCATCTACGTAGATGATTACCAACGTTTCAGACGGACATATCACTTCCATCTTTAGGGGGAGAATCGGGAGCGATAGGTTTCACCCTAACGCTGGTAATAACCTACAAGACTTCAAATTGTCGTGCCAGTAGGTGAGTTGTAATTTCAGTCCACGTGCCGTGGTAGTCTAAATTTATTTTGTATTTTAGTTTGTCGAACATCAGCCATTTTACCAATAACGGCAGAAATACAAGTTACAAGAACGCTCTACGTTATTGTGAAATAAGAGGGGCCTGTGGGAAATTGGCGTTTAACTTTTGAAAATAAAGTTAATCCGTGAAACGAAAACTTGTAGATCTCCGGTTTTCCCTCCAAAGAAACCAATAAACCTCCACGTGTGGCAGCCACACCTGTCAAGAACTACACACACTGATATCTCATGTTCAATACAGTTGTTCTGCCAGACACATGATGCAGTGGTTTGACTATTAGCAATGCAAAAAAATTCTTCGCCATTATAGAACAGCCTTTCACTGGACGGTATGCAGAGTCCATTAAATTTAGTTCATTTTTCCACAGTATAATCTTTGCTCAGATACGCCAGGAGCATTAAGCCAAAATATGGCCTCGAACAAAGTTTAGTTGAACCTAAGCTTTCCAGACGCAAGACGACCACTATGTAGGCTTAAAATCTGCATCCAAAAGCTCTTATTTCAGAGTTACTCCCACAGTCTGACCTATAGATAAATAAAGGTCTTAACTCTTTAAAGTTCAGTGGGAATTCTGTGTACCAACCGCTTTAACAATTACTAACTCCGCATTTTGTATTTACGACTTCCGTAAGATACCTAGAATTAACAGCATTTTATTTCATTAAATAGCATTTTTTTAAATATAGAATTGTTGTTTCCTTTGGGTTATGGATTAAATCTTGAAATACTTTGTGAACGAACTTCGGCTTCAAGGAGTTAATACTGAAAATAACAAGCGATATCTCGTATATTAACACAAATTCATATTGGCTCCCGTAGCTTTTTTAATATTAGCACTTCGTGTTGTTATGCCAGTTTTCGTCTGCATTCTTCTCGTCTAAAGTTTGATTGGATTAGCATAGACTGTGATTGGCTTTGAATAAATTGCCTCGCAGCTGCAATAATAGCTTTTAATTTGCAATAAATAAACATTATGCCAGTAAAGAATGCAGAACTGCAAAGAACGCGTTTGGAAATTATGTAAGTGGAGTAAACTGACATCCTTTTACACTTATCAATAATTTTACTTTTGTGCTATGTTCAATGCCTGTGCAACACGGACGTCGTGTATAGAAACACAGGCTACCCGCATAGAAACACGTAAACATAAACATATAACATGAAATATTTTAGAAATGGTTGATACGTAGTGCCAGTCGACAATAATTTCTTTTATTGAACTGATAAGGAACATTGTCTCAGGCTGTTTGTTCCTTTGCGTAGACTTGGATGAAAATATTTCTTTACTCCACAGTCGCCCGAAGTATGTAAAGAAATATGTTTTTCAGTTACAGAAACAGTTTAATAGAAGTTCCCATAAAATGATACAGTGTAATTTTATGTTAGTGGACGTCACGATGTCGTATTCGACAGACTGCAGTTTGACTCTCGGACAGAGTACTGATTAATCTGACTGAAACGATGTGTTTATTTGGTCACAGTAGGTTTACCCAATGCGACAGATTACGAAACAGATGAAATCTGCTGCATCTGTTGTCCCCAAATGTAGGGTTCTGTCCCAGTTCAAAGACATGTGACTTCTCATAACTCACCGAGTTTGAAATTGTTACGTATGTTCAAATAACACGCGTTGGGAGAGATAAGAAAATCATACGAAATTTCGATTGGAAATCTTGAAGGAAAGATTTTTTTTAATGGTAGGATAATATTAAAATGGATCGTAGGGAAGTATGTGAGTGGGTGCGGACTGGAATCGTTTGATTTCCGAATAAGGGTCTGTGGCGGGCTGTTGTGTACATGGTAATGAACATTCTATTATTCTATTATTTCTTGGCTACCTGAGCGTACTATGAGCCTCTCAAGGGCTCTTTCTCATGAAATGTTGCTTACTTATTAATTTTCTAAGAATATTTAGATGAAATTTCGTTTTTTCAAGCCTGGAACATGAAATTGATTTCTAACGAATTGGCACACTGTTCCGTTTTAGCAGCTTTGTTCAGGTTGCTGTGAATAAAAGATTCTCACACTGTTGGTTGAGGGGGGGAGTTGGTATTTTATAGTGTCTTAGGCCCTCGAATTTAACGGTTCTTGACATATTTTTTCTGAGAAAACGTAGAAAGTTCAGTTTATGGAACCGTGTAGACGGTGTTGAAACGTTGAAGTACAGGCTTACACCAGCTATTGAAACCAAAATATCATAAATGCAAGAACGTGTTTGGACCGAGCCATAATATCGTAACACACGTTCTAAGTGTGTGTCGCCATGTTTTATTTCATTCAAATATGTATCATGGATACCGAAATAAAACCCTTTCATACACTTTCTGAGCCCCACTGTTACGATCTACAAGATGTGATATAAAGTCGACAAGGAAAATGAATTGAAAGTAGAGACATGGAGTTAGTTTTTAACATCGATAACTAATGAACCATTAGAGTGAGCTTTATAATAATAGGCTAATAACTTACTCCACTGGGACGTTAGCTTGAATTTTACGTGTGTTATAAGCGAGTTCTGTTAACGATGGCTAGTTAGCTGCAGAAACGCGTAATGCTTAGTACATGAAATGTGAGTGTTGTTTTATAAAATCCGATAGGCTTGTGTGTTATAAAGCCAGCGGTACACGAAGATTACAATGTCTACATTTATCTCAGTTCACAGCCCAAATTTATGTCAAGATTTGCTGGCTTGTATGTTCTGTCGTATAGGAGATTTATTGAGTGCTAGAAGATGGAGCCATCTTTTATATGTGTTAGAATTATTTATATGTGGATTTTGTATATTCTAAAAAATCACTTTAAATTGTGAGATAAATTATGTGTTACATTAATCAATATAATGTGTATTCTGGTAGAAGTTTAGCAACGTTTCAGTGATCCTTGCTGCCTGCATCATTAGGAATCATCGCCCTGATGATGAAGGCAGTAACGATCTCTGAAACGTTGCTAAATATCTACCAGACTACATTGCGCTACAACCCAGAAGACAACCAACCATCTTCGTACTCACCCCCATGAGACCATAAAATCTCACGGACCATAATCCCTTCCTTTCACATCCTTTCCAATTCTACATCCACAGTAACCCCATGCTAAAAATGTAATTAATAACCCTCGGATTAGTCAGGCTTCTAGTACATGCTAATTAAGCAAAAATGGCTCTGTCAGGTCATGAAGACGGATACTTGACTTTTCAGACACTGTGTGACTGGATCTGAGCCAATTCACGACAGATGTTTCTCAACACTACTGACTAGGTCAGCTCCAGATTTTCGAGCCAAATTAACTCAACCAAAGTATAAGTAGGTCAGCAGTAACTGCTACTCGCCATGATGATCCCCACGATAAAAACACGTTTTATATGGAAATCGCCAATTCTTCCACATATAGCATGCATCGTTCCTGTATACGGTACAGATATAGTACACAAGCAAACCTTTCTACAAATACAAAACTATCTGTAAACATTGTTTCGATCTATTGGTTCGATATTTAATCTAGATTAAGCAGATTATTTTCCTGTTATTTTGTTATGAATTCCTGAATTCGTTACTATTGTGATTGTTTTTTTTAATTATTTCACGACGCTTTTTATCTGCATGTGGAATGATGAAGGGAGCCCTAAGTACCTCAGTTGCTAGTGTAGTAACTACTATACGATCTGGGCAAACGGGGTTCGATTCCCGACATATTTAGAGATAATTCCTTCGCCACGACGTGTTGTTCAGCTTTGCGACCCACCCAGTGGGCACCGGGGCTCCTTCCTCGTAGGCAACACCGCCCGGGCGTCGAACTAACTCACGTCCATGAAGTACTGTTGTTAATAATATGTGGAGCTACACTTTCACTCCCCTATACATCTTCATGGCGTGGTACTTAAACATAAGGGAAAGTTTACTTTTTATTGAATGATGAATTGGAAAGTACATGGAAGGAAGTAGTACTTGCCTGTGTTAATGTAACACCTTATCATTTACCTGGAGAGACTGAGGAAATCCACTAAACCTTCTAGCCGGAGTCTGGGTTCGAACCTGAAACCTACCAAATACGAACCTTTTCCTCGCGACGTACTTTTTTTATTGCTCTGTGATATTGGTGCCAATGGATGAGGAACACACAGTACGATTAAAGGAAGGACAGAGAAAGAGACGCGGAATTCCAACGTTTTGTTTTCAAGGTAACTGAGAAGTATATTTTGGTATATTTAACACACCCGAAACCTAAGTACCTTCTAAACTGATCTTCTGAAGGCAACTCTGGTACATTCCACAGCATAAAGCAGATGTAAAATTACATTTATCGGGCTACTTTGTCGGTGACCGTCGTATTATGCCTTCAGTCTTTCAAAATGTTACACGAAATATATTTTGTACATGTTGATGAAGGCGGCCCTAATTTTATTTCAATACATCTTAAGTGTCGGCCATTTTCATATAAATGTCAGAAGTCCGTGTCGTTGATCCAGCCAGCATCTCACACGACGTCCCTGTGTGTGTGTGTGTGTCTGCAGGTGCTGGATAAGCGAGAGTCCTTACACTATAGTGCTCATCATCCCAGTGTGCGCGTCCATGGTTCTGAACCTCATCTTCCTCTGCAATATCTTGCGGGTCCTGCTCATCAAACTGAGGGCTGGGCCCCACGTCGGGTCATCTCGTCCTTCCAGCACCCTACTCCAGGTTTGTTTGCTTCCCACCTATCAAATCTCGGGCGCCCGCTGTTCGTACAAATGTCTGTTTCTACATTACACTTATTTTCACATGCTGCTTATTAAAGTCTTTGTCTTGTTTATAATATTACAGAGCTGTTTGATGGCGATTTTCTTACTTATTTTATAACGTGAACCTGCAGTTTCGAGAATTTCATATTTAGTGACCATTTTCATGGAATTATAAAGTGTTGGAAACAGTTGAACTATAATCAACATCTAGCGACATAAAACAAAACTATCAACCTACTTTGTAAGAAACTGGTCTAACATTTCTTGGGAATACATAAAATAATTTGTTTTCATGGGGTCCTTTCACAGTTTTATGTTGAGCGAGCTGTTTCACTAAACAGGTTCTGTAACTAGCGAAGATGAAATTATTCGCAGAAAACTTGATGGCTGATCTTGTCTGTAAGAAGGATTTATTTCGCCTCGCAGCGTTATCAGTCAACTGTCATTTGATGGCTACTTGTTACAGGCTGTCCGGGCAACACTGCTGCTGGTACCCCTCCTGGGGCTTCACTACCTCGTGACACCATTCCGCCCATCACAAAACCACCCCTGGGAGGGTGTGTATGAAGTCACATCAGCTATCACAGCTTCATTCCAGGCGAGTTTCTAGTCACATGTACGCACTTGGCCTCAACACGAGATAACAGAAATTACTCGAATGTATTCTGACTTCAGGTAATAGTCCGAGCCTCTGAAGCGTGACAGAAATGCCTGAACACGCAATGGATTTGTATATGAATAATATATTCTTCTAGCCACAGAAACTGGTTAGTTTAAATTAAGTCTGTGAACCTCGATGCATTTTATTTAGCCTATTTATAGTTCAGCGACCCTTCAGTGTCTCAGAATATGGTTGAATGACAGGACGGTTAATGGACTGGAAAGGACATGGAAAGAGGTGGTCATGGAAAAGTTTAAGGTGGTGGTGTGTCATTTAGTTGGAGGAAATATCTCAGCATAGTGGATGTCCGAACCGAGATTTGAACCCGGGACCTCCCTATTAGGAAAGAGCGTTGGTAATCGTGGTATATCGATACCATTATCTCAGACAATGTTTAGTATACTGGTACCACTGGTATGGCATACTCTTTAAAAGGCCAGTTATCGAAAACAGGCTCCACATTGACGCAGTGCATCTTACGGTACCGAAATATTAAAATTTGTTGGTGCAGAAACACAGTATGCAGTGGTCAGGATATCACAGCCTCTTCTCATTACATCCCGTCAATGAGCAGTGTAACAGTTAATACAACGACGTATTCCGCATTGAAATCGCCGAGTTTTCTTTTAATGAACTGACGAAGAGGTTACGTTAGCAGGGATGGAGGCAGCACGTTCTCCAACGCTGTTGTGAAGCTTGAAGTCCAAACAAACCACTGCAGGCGTTAAACCTGACGACAGTCCTCAAGTCTAATACGATGCGACGGGTTCCTGGGAACTTGTAACGAAGGCAACTTGAAACAGCTGAAATTAGTTTTCCGCCACTTTGCGCTTTGATGTTATTTCAGAAGTGAAGAGTTATTTCAGTAGGAGGGCTGAACACTATTGAGGACCCTACTTACAACATTTGTATCCGAAACGAAAATAAATTTATTCTAAATGGTTCTTAGGATGTTTTATTACAATCTGGATTACAGAATTGGGTCCGTTAGAAAGAGATAATAACCACAATCACTGAATTGAGGTTCCTCTCTTTCATACACTTGAAGTTGAGGACAGATCATGTTCACGATACTTTGTGTTCTTAGAATAACAAACAATGGACAGAAGCTCAGTTATCCAGAAAGGAAACTGCCTGATAAAATAATGTAAAGTTACTTGTGCAACTTTTATATAATAATTCTCAGTGACCGTCTGTCTGTCATGACATTTTGAGGCACATTCAAGTAGAATTAAGATCTTAAACTTAATCTGCATACTTCAACATATCCCCTTGTTAGTAGCTAGATTTATTGAAAATCCCGTGAAAGTGTCATAGGTTCGAATCTCTGGGCAATTATTTGGGTGTTTTTCTACATTCCCAGTCTTATAAAGGGAAAGTTTGTGAGTAAAGAGATGTTATAAAGTAAATAAATTATTCACTTTCAAATATTGTTAATAATTATAAGCATTTAAGCAACTTGTGTTATTAACTTTCTGTTTCTGTTACAGGGTCTCTGTGTCGCAACACTCTTTTGTTTCTGCAATGGAGAGGTAATTTTCCATCCACTATTCATTTTCATACATTTTACATTTAACATTGAAGTAAACTATAAATTATTTAGATGTGGCCAATTTTAATCCTTCAGTGTCCCTTCACTCTTTCTGTTGGGCCCATTTATTGAGCCAGCTGAAGACGTGGACCAGGATTTTGTGAAATTGTTTGTGTTTTACGTTCTAGGTAGTAGCTCAAGTTAAGCGAAGATGGCAGCATTTAATGTTTCGACCACGAGCCAATTCTTGTACTGCCACGACGGTTTCGGTACGTCAGGTTAGGTTAGGTTAATTTCTCTTATATGTTCTATGAAATGTTGTGTGGTGGCTATGTTAAGCATGATATAATTTTTAAGCCCATGTATTATATTTGTATGTATTTTGTTATTTTTACATAAACTTTGTAATGAATAAAATGCATTATGACATTTAAACTCTGGACGAACAATTGGAAATGTTTCAGTTGTGTTCCATCCGCATTTTATATCTACCGCCAATTCACAGTGTGAAGGTCCACATTATTCACAACGGCGCCTGATAATAAATTTAAATGGTGGTAGGCCTGTAGGCACTCATCAGACGCAGCACACCCGAAAGAACGCTTTAAACGGCCCATTCAAGTACGAGTCTGGCTCGGCGAGCTTGACTCGTGAGCCGGGCTCGGATATATTTCACCACGCATGCGTAGCAGACTCCCAGACTCGTGACGCCCCACCCACAAGCGACTTTGGCTCGATGGAACCCGAGCCGAGCAGGACTCGTACGTGGATCGGCCTAGCTGTTGTACCATTCTTGCACTGCACTGGAAAATGGAAACAGATACAGTGTGATCATGATTACCAACCCCCCCTTACCCGTTCACGCACATACAACAATTAGAAAAATGTAACAATGGTATTCAGTTTTGCATGTTCTATTAGTATCTTTGTAGCTGACAAAGTTTAACATTTACTATAAATGTGTTTGGAGGTAAAATTATCTTTATTCAATGACGTTGGAATCATTATTTATTTTTCAGATTGTGAGATCAAATGGCGCAAATGGAATCTTAATGGATGAGGATAATGTGTGATACGACAGAGTGCTATGTAGGGGACCATATTGACTGCTTCTGTACGTACGGAAAGTGAATGACATTTGGCAGATGTCTTCAGCAAGGTTTAGTTATTATTGCATCCTCATAGGCGTACGTATGCAGTATACAGACCATCTGTATCTGCCAGAAAAACTGAAATTATTTTCAGGTTTTTCCACTTTTGATCATTAAGGTTGTGATTTTTTTTTGCTGAGATTTTAGTTTTTCATGGTGGTGAGTCTGAAGATGGCTGTCTTCTGGGTCGTTGCACTACGTAGTCTGGTAGAAGTTTACCAAGGGTTCAGAGCTGCTTTTTGCCACCATCAACATAGTACGAGTAAAACTCACCGATCGCCTTGCATCCATCATCGTCGCTCTGTTGACAACGCATTGTGCATCAACCCAGAAGACAGAGATCTTTTGATTTCTGTCTCACTGGGTACTTATTTTAAAGAAAACTGTGAACAATGACATTCTGATTCATAAATACAGTGGATTAAGTACAAATTAGAGGTATAACTTCTTTGATGTAGTTATTTACTACATGAAGATAAAATGGCTGTGCTCGAAAAACAAAATCTAATTTTTATCTACATCTCAGATAAAAGTTTAAAAACAAACAATAAGGAAAAGGATAAGAAGGCAAAGGAACATTTAAAAAACATTTAAATCTGCATATAGCTATCATGTTCCAGAATATTCTTTCAATTTATTTACTGCGAGTTTCGTCAATCGTGCGAAATAAGAAAGGAACTCGTAATAGTGAGCGATGTGATTCTTGAGGATCAGACACAAGGCATGAAGCATCAGTATTCTGTCCTGCATGTCATAAACTTTAATTATTGATCTCCTAGATTGAATGCGAGACTCTGAATCTCTGAGTTGTGGATTTTACATTTGCTGACCAAATGAAAGAAATTTACTTGACTGTGATTAATGTGGCAGTGAATGCAAAGTAGGCAAAAAATAGTTTTCTATCCTATAAATGTGTAGTTAAACAGTCAAGACCTTAAGAAAAGTGCATTTGCAATTGTGTTACTTTTGTAGATTATATGTTTCAATAAATATAACACAATCAAATATTATCCATTTTCATATCCACTTTAAAAATGCAGTTTCTCCTCACAGATCATATGATTTTACTGCAATCTACTGGTAGACGTTTACCAAAGTTTGGAGGTTCTTGCTGCCTCCATCATAGGACAATGACTCACCGCCATGAAAGCCTCAAATCCTACTTGACAGGAAAATAATTTTAAACATTGGTTTTAAAATTTGACTTTTGCATAATTACTTAATACCTTCAGATTACCAGGAAACTACAATTAAAGATTTGACAAAACATTATTCTTCATTAATTATGAATACATATATATGTAAAGATAGTTGGGGTTTATAGCGCTGCATGATATTTAAACCATTTTTCAGGGATTTTGACATCTGAACTATTTTTTCGTTTTAGGAACATTTGCAATGAAGTTTCAAAACTGCTTCCTGCATTCTTTGTTTGTCTACCGACAAGTAACAAGTTAACGTGGATTTTAATACTTGGGAGTTTTTGCTAAAATATTTTGCAACGTTCTGATTTTGTTAGAAGGACAGCACTAAAAATCACTTACACAGAAGACTATAAGTGTCTCATTCATAAGTTACTGAATATTTATCAGACAGAAAATTTTTTTCAAACAAAAGTTATAAAGAAATAAACACCCATTTTATATCTATTATAGATTGTTTTTCCCTTAAATCTTGCTATTTTCAAGATAACAAAAGAAAAGGGAAATTTATGCTATGCTTTTTGTGCAGGCACCAAAGTTAGCGTTAGCGAGCAAGCTTAAAATCTAGAGGAAATAACATCATGAACATTCCAGAACTGTAAAACTGTGCAAATGTTAAATGCGTTGTAATTATTTCATGCCATAATTTTTTTGTATGAAAGAGAATAATTATAAGACGATGTTTGTTGGGAAGGGATGAAAATTAACTTGGTTATTAATTCTGAAGGGTTCTAAAGGCTGTATATAACAATTAAAATTTCTGGGTTTATGGATTTTATCCATTTTTCTATTCTGAACAGAACAGCTGCATGAGTCCAGAAACCTATATATTTTATCTGAGACTGGAGGTTTTTGGCGTGGTGAAGATGTTCGTGTTCTTCTGGGTTGTGATGCCAAGTGGACACAATGTACTTAGTATGTGGCTAGAATTAAGAAGTTTCGCCTGAAAAAGAAGTTACGGGTACAAGACAGACTAGATGTGCAATAACGATGCAGACAAAATATATTCCTCCTAATGTAAGTTATGTGGCCAGTGCTTCCAAAAAATCTTCTGTAATTATAAACTTCTTGAATTATATTTAATGTATGTGGAAGTGTAAATATTAGTGGAAATATTCTGTTCATTTGAGATATTGTGTAACACTGTAAATAAATGTGTGAGGTGATAGTTTTGAATGTGAGCAATACAGAACTAAATTTATTTTGCAGTTATTGCAATATTATGAAATCTGCAATGACTTGCAATATGAAAGGAAATAGATTTTAGTTTGTGACATGAAATGTATTTGCAGAGAAACAAAGGCTGCCCATATATTTTGTGTGATAATGAAACTTGTCACCACCATCTGCATCTTTCATTACTTTGGGTCACCTACGCTAGGAAAATGCAGTACCTAAAGGTGATTGTAATTATTTTCAGTATTTTCCTTCATTGTACTTTTAAGTTCTTTGACTGGTCTCTATATTTTACCAGAAGCCTGGAAAATGTTCTACATCAAATGGTATTACAAAATAATTCGTAGATACCAGGTAGGAATTCAGAAGAAATAGATAAACATAATTGCACAAGGAACTAAACAGATTACAGAGATGGGACAGAATTGGAGAAAGCTGTTAGAATTTTTCAAAGATCCAAACACCAATCGAACATTTACTTTGTGCACAACTTTGGTTATGAAGGTTATAAAATGTTTCAGAAAGCAAAAGACATTGTGGTGACTATGCTGAGGACAATGCTGCAAAGAACTTGGCCATGTTGGTTACATTCAAAAGTGTTATAGAACAAGCCTGAAAAAGATTATGAAAGATGACAATGCTGTGGAAAAAACTTGTATTGGAGCAGTTGGGTAATGTTCTGATTAAGAAATTAGCTATTTGAAGGAGCAGTAGTGATTTTCAAGCAATGAGGTGAGCAGTGTGGTAAACTTCTTTCCACAGGTTGAAGATGACTGTCTTCTGGGTTGTAGAGTCATAAAATCTGGTAGAAGTTTACGAACATTTCAGAGGTCCTTGCTGCATACATCATCAAGTTAACGAGAAGACAGACGTCTTCATACTTACTGCTGTGATAACTTAAATACTACTATTTTTACTGTGAGATCAGCCAATTGCCAGGTAAGAGATGAAGCCTCTACCTTAACATTTAAAAATATTCATTTAATTAGTGTCTGCTCCAGCAATTTACAATACTTTAATAAAATATGTGGAGTAATACGTCCTACCTTTGATGAAAATTAAAATTCAGTCTCTAATATTAATAAATTACTTTGCCTGCAATACATAAATGCACAATGCAAAAGTAGATAGCTGTATATTGTACTGAGCCAATGTTAATGGCTGGCAGGGAGTTGGTACGGATTCCACTAGATGGTGGTGCATTGACGAAGTTAAATAAATTTGGCGCCTGCGCGATTGCTGGCTTTCAGACGGAAAATGTTCCTTCTAAAAATCAATAGGTTAGTGCAGTAATTCCAAAGCTGTGGTTCACGAGCCATGTAATTCCATGCAATATAGTACTTACCGAGAATCTTGTTGATTCCTAGTTAATAAAATACGAAGGTTCATTACCTGTTCACAAGGGCCCGCCACTGAACTCTTTATCTTGAGGTAGATGAATCCAGTCCACACCTTTACAATCTACGATTTCTGACCCATTTTAATGTCGTACCATCTATATCAAGGTTTCCGGGTCGTCTCTTTCCTAAAGATATTGCAACTTATATTTTGTATGCGTTTTTCATCTTTCTCATACGTTGTAGGCCTAAATGTCGCGTCCGTCTCATCTTACTGAATCTCATAATTTAAACTAAAATTTCAGTGATTCTAAGCAAATATGTGGTGAGTATTTTGGAAATGTATAAATAATGCTAATATATGATTTTAATATAGTTATGATTAATTTTTACATGATGTATAGTGGGACAGCTTTACTTTAATGGAATAGGCCTGTTTATTTAACAAACGTGAATAAAATTTACGCTGTACGAAAACACTTTAGGACAGACTGAAGAATTTAATATCTTTATTTTCTGTTACTGATGCACCTGTGATCATGAAAATTGCCACACGGCCCTGGAACATAGTTAAGGGTCAAATATTTCTTCTGGATACATTTCAGCTACAATGCTGTCTTGAATTAATGTTTTTCTATACATTTATAGGGAAGTATGATACGTGCGATGAAAAATTTATGTCAAGGCAAATGAGAAGTACAAAACCCTCAATATAACGTAATCGGAAAGGAATTTCATTTCGATATTTGAGAAACTATTAGTGGGTTGGTCAAATTGGCTGTCTGCTTTAAAGCATACATAATTAAAACGACGGAAAACTTTTATACGACGCTAGTAACGTCTGCCTGGGGCAAATTACTAATTAACGTTCTGAGAGTTCTAGAATCCTGTGCCAACTTTTCTAGTACCGAAATGTAATTCTACACTTTAAATAAATAGCTATATAATTATTTCAGTAACAACCAGACGCAGTGAATGAGCTCTTAGTTCTCCTACATCGTAATCGGGACACTGCAAGTTCGCTTATTGTTGCCCTAAAACTGAAAGTTTTCGTGTATTTTCTCAGTCCCTCTAAACAAATTCTAGGATAGTATTGGCTCCTTCCACATCCGTTACAACCTTGTACAATATTCCACTCATTACATGATGACATGTAAGCCAGACATTTGAGAAATCATTACTAAATAAATGATTGATAAATACTTCCACAGTATTTGTGCAATCCAAGACATCATATTAGATTTACTACAGTGACGTGCTTTCTGCCAATCAGCTTCATGGACTCGAAAATATCCGACGTTTCGAAAACTCCACACATCAGTGCCTCATGATATAGAGGAGTTCAGATTTTTTTCACGGTCTCCACCAAAATTTTGTGCTTATCTTTTCCATGATTGCTAGACGCCCACTTCATCTCCTCTTCCTTGATTAGATCGTCTAAACAATATTTCGTGGGAATCACAAATCATGACGTTTCTCATAATCTAATTTTCTCTAGTCTCTTGTCCCTTCTTCCTTCGAGGGCCCAAATATTGTCCACGTCTTGTTTTCAAAAGTCTTCAATTTGTTCTTCCTTTTATGCGAGAGACCAAGTTTTACGGCAATACAAAATTACTTGATCTGTTATAATTGCGTGTATTTCAATCTTGATGTTTTCTGCTATTATGCGTTGTCGCATATTGGTCGAAAATTTGTTATGATGTGATTCTCAGTCCATCGATTTATTTTGTGTGATGAAGATATACTTTCTGAGAATTTATTTTTATGAAAAGGAAAATACCAAACCTCTTAACTGCTAAAAGAGTGCAAATAAGCGTTGATGAAAATAGCGTGGTGCTTCTGTTTCAGATTTAAACTACGTCTTGTAATTACACGTGTTGATCAAAATCCATTGATAGATCAGACGCGTTGTTCTAGAACGAAATTGCTTGTAGTAAGACAGCCGACGCTCAAGTTGCTTTGCTTTCGTATATTTTCAGGAAGAAATGTAATTTTATTCTGAAATAAGTTAGAATACATCTTTTCTTTACATGCGTGATTAATTAATTTGTTTCGTAATGTCCTCACGTTTCGTGTAATATTCTTTCTATGATACGATTCAAAGAATGTTCATGCATACATTTTGTCGGTTTAGTGGGTGTTTAAATAGAACTCTAATTGGCTCCAGGTACTTTCTGAATAATGAAAAATATAATA